TGTCTTTTTTTTTTTTTAGACCTTTGAAATAAAATTTTACTATGCTTTGTACCAGATACGTATATCTTATTTAGGGGTGAGCCATGTTGTTTTCAGGCTAAACTAAATTTGTGTTCAGGCAGGCCAAACTTTCGGTTGTAGTGGGAAGTGATACATTTAGCAGCAGTATTACTACTGCTGCTAAATGTGACAGCTCCCCTATGGCTGATTGTTGAAAAGCCAGCAGCTGCCGGCTACCTAACAACCATTGACTCATTCCAGCTTGGCCCATTCAGCAGTCAGAATGTGAACCAAAGGTTAGGGACATTATAAAAAAGGCATAGGATTCCCTATCTAATATGTTTTTAAGGGGGACCAACACAAAAGAAAAAAAGTGGTGTTCCCCTGAAATTCCATACAAGACCTTCCGTCTATTTATCATAATTGACAAGAATTTGCATTCCTGGACAACCTGATTAATGATGGAGTTACATCATTGGACATTTTTTTTTTTAATTTGGAACTTGTCATAAAAGTGTATGTGTTTATTGGTTATTTATATTTTATTTTTGTTAATAAGTAGTGGTACTATGTACCCAGTACTCATTTACGCATGGGGCATGGTAGCTAGGTGCCTCCTTATTTTTAAAGAAGGACTTCTAGATTCTGATAAGCCCCCACCCATAGGCACCCAAAACCACAAACCAGGGCTGTGGGGAAGAGACCCTTTAAAAGGTGCCCTACCCATGTAGAGGACATGTGGTCTGGTATGGTTTGGGGAGGGGGGGGTGCATGCTCATTTTCCCATTTTCTGGACATCTCCTACACTTTTTTTTCTTGTTTTTTCCATGGGGAAGACAGGCAACCCCCAAGTATGTTATTTTATCACTTTGATACTAGAACATTTTTTAGATTGTTTACACACATGTAATCATCTACATTTTTAGGTTTAAAATTACATAACCCCCCCAGAACATATATATTTACTAAAAGTAGAGGACTTGTAGAATGAAAAAATAGTTGTTGCAATTTTTATTGTAATATTTGTGCAGTTGTTTATTACACACATTTTCAGGGAAAATATAATAAAATTAATTTAGTGAACACAAACCAATTATAATTAGAGATGAGCGAAGTATTCAAAAATTCGATTCGACTGATTCGGCGAATTCGTGGAAAAATTTCGATTCGAATCGAATATATTCGCTGCGAATTTAACTTATAAAAGGGTGTTTCTAGGCTTCAGAGAGCCTTTATATTAGTGCAGAACACTGTACCTTTAATTTAAATGCCCTTGGAGTCTGCTGGGGAAGAGAAATAATACTGACAGTCAGTATGACATGCAGATGAGTGCCGTCGATCTTAGAATCACCGCACACTTCACTAATTTGGGCAGTCACGGGGCCAAAACCAGAGTGTGGAGCCACAGTGTGGCGGTGGAGGCAGCAGCAATGGGAGGCCATACAGCACCCTATGACAAAAATGGAAACCACCAGCAGTGTGAGGAGACCTGAAAGTGGCACATGGCAGAGTGTGGCGATGGAGACAGCAGCAATGGGAGGCCGTACAGGGACCCATGACACACTCTGGACCTGGCAGCAGCATGAGGAGGTGGTACAGGGGCCCATGACAGATTACGGGCCTGGCAGCAGCAGCATGAGGAGTCGGTACGGGGGTCCATGGCAGATTAGGGGCCTGGCAGCAGCTATGGGAGGCCCGTAATCTGCCAGCACCCTATGTCAAAAAAATGTAACACACCAGCAGTGTGTGAGGAGACCTGAAAGTGGCACATGGCAGAGTGTGGCGATGGAGACAGCAGCAATGGGAGGCCGTACAGGGACCCATGAGAGACTCTGGACTTGGCAGCAGCATGAGGAGGCGGTATAGGGGCCCATGGCAGATTAGGGGCCTGGCAGCAGCTATGGGAGGCCCGTAATCTGCCAGCACCCTATGTCAAAAAATTGAACACACCAGCAGTGTGTGAGGAGACCTGAAAGTGGCACATGGCAGAGTGTGGCGATGGAGACAGCAGCAATGGGAGGCCGTACAGGGACCCATGAGAGACTCTGGACTTGGCAGCAGCATGAGGAGGCAGTATAGGGGCCCATGGCAGATTAGGGGCCTGGCAGCAGCTATGGGAGGCCCGAAATCTGCCAGCACCCTATGTCAAAAAATTGAACACACCAGCAGTGTGAGGAGACCTGAAAGTGGCACATGGAAGAGTGTGGACCGGCTGGCGATGGAGACAGCAGCAAATGGGAGGCCGTACAGGGACCCATGAGACACTGGACTTGGCAGCAGCATGAGGAGGCGGTATAGGGGCCCATGGCAGATTAGGCCTGGCAGGCTATGGGAGGCCCGTAATCTGCAGCTATGGGAGGCCCCGTAATCTGCCAGCACCCTATGTGACATAGGGGGCCCATGGCACATTAGGGGCCAGGCAGCAGCTATGGTAAGAGGCCCTGAAATCTGCACACCCTATGTCAAAAAATTGAACACACCAGCAGTGTGAGGAGACCTGAAAGTGGCACATGGCATGAGACACTGTGGACCCTGGCAGCAGCAAGAGGAGGAGGCGGTATGTACAGGGGCCCATGGCAGAGATTAGGGGCCTGGCAGCAGCTATGGGAGGCCCGTAATCTGCCCAGCACCCTATGTCCAGCACCCTATGTCAAAAAATTGAACACACCAGCAGTGTGTGAGGAGACCTGAAAGTGGCACATGGCAGAGTGTGGCGATGGAGACAGCAGCAATGGGAAGGCCGTACAGGGACCCATGAGAGACTCTGGACTTGGCAGCAGCATGAGGAGGCGGTATAGGGGCCCATGGCAGATTAGGGGCCTGGCAGCAGCTATGGGAGGCCCGTAATCTGCCAGCACCCTATGTCAAAAAATTTAACACACCAGCAGTGTGAGGAGACCTGAAAGTGGCACATGGAGAGTGTGGCGATGGAGACAGCAGCAATGGGAGGCCGTACAGGGACCCATGACAGACTCTGGACCTGGCAGCAGCATGAGGAGGCGGTATAGGGGCCCATGGCAGATTAGGGGCCTGGCAGCAGCTATGGGAGGCCCGTAATCTGCCAGCACCCTATGTCAAAAAATTGAACACACCAGCAGTGTGAGGAGACCTGAAAGTGGCACATGGCATGAGACACAGTGGGACCTGGCAGCAGCATGAGGAGGGCAGCAGCGGTACAGGGGCCCATGGCAGATTAGGGGCCTGGCAGCAGCTATGGGAGGCCCGTAATCTGCCAGCACCCTATGTCAAAAAATTGAACACACCAGCAGTGTGTGAGGAGACCTGAAAGTGGCACATGGCAGAGAGTGTGGCGATGGAGACAGCAGCAATGGGAGGCCGTACAGGGACCCATGAGAGACTCTGGACTTGGCAGCAGCATGAGGAGGCGGTATAGGGGCCCATGGCAGATTAGGGGCCTGGCAGCAGCTATGGGAGGCCCGTAATCTGCCAGCACCCTATGTCAAAAAATTGAACACACACAGCAGTGTGAGGAGACCTGAAAGTGGCACATGGCAGAGTGTGGGCGATGGAGACAGCAGCAATGGGAGGCCGTACAGGGACCCATGAGACTCTGGACTTGGCAGCAGCAGCATGAGGAGGAGGTATAGGGGCCCATGTAGATAGGGGCCCAGGCAGATTAGGGGCCCGGCAATCTGCCATGGGACCCTATGTCAAAAAATTGCCAGCACCCTATGTCAAAAAATTGAAAGTGGCACATGGCAGAGTGTGGCGAGGAGACAGCAAATGTGGCACACAGGGACATGAGAGACTGTGGACCTGGCAGCAGCATGAGGAGGCGGTACAGGGGGGCCCATGGCAGATTAGGGGCCTGGCAGCAGCTATGGGAGGCCCGTAATCTGCCAGCACCCTATGTCAAAAAATTGAACACACCAGCATGTGTGAGGAGACCTGAAAGTGGCACATGGCAGAGTGTGGCGATGGAGACAGCAGCAATGGGAGGCCGTACAGGGACCCATGAGAGACTCTGGACTTGGCAGCAGCATGAGGAGGCGGTATATAGGGGCCCATGGCAGATTAGGGGCCTGGCAGCAGCTATGGGAGGCCCGTAATCTGCCAGACCCTATGTCAAAAAATTGAACACACCAGCAGTGTGTGAGGAGACCTGAAAGTGGCACATGGCAGAGTGTGGCGATGGAGACAGCAGCAATGGGAGGCCGTACAGGGACCCATGAGAGACTCTGGACTTGGCAGCAGCATGAGGAGGCGGTATATAGGGGCCCATGGCAGATTAGGGGCCTGGCAGCAGCTATGGGAGGCCCGTAATCTGCCAGCACCCTATGTCAAAAAATTGAACACACAGCAGTGTGTGAGCAGTGGCACATGAGGAGACCTGAAGCAGCAATGTGGCACATGGCATGAGACACTGGACCTGGCAGCAGCATGAGGAGGCGGTACAGGGGCCCATGGCAGATTAGGGGCCTGGCAGCAGCTATGGGAGGCCCGTAATCTGCCAGCACCCTATGTCAAAAAATTGAACACACCAGCAGTGTGTGAGGAGACCTGAAAGTGGCACATGGCAGAGTGTGGCGATGGAGACAGACACAGCAATGGGAGGCCGTACAGGGACCCATGAGAGACTCTGGACTTGGCAGCAGCAGCATGAGGAGGCGGTATAGGGGGCCCATGGCAGATTAGGGGCCTGGCAGCAGCTATGGGAGGCCCGTAATCTGCCAGCACCCTATGTCAAAAAATTGAACACACCAGCAGTGTGTGAGAGACCTGAAAGTGGCACATGGCAGAGTGTGGCGATGGAGACAGCAGCAATGGGAGGCCGTACAGGGACCCATGAGAGACTCTGGACCTGGCAGCAGCATGAGGAGGGCGGTATAGGGGCCCATGGCAGATTAGGGGCCTGGCAGCAGCTATGGGAGGCCCGTAATCTGCCAGCACCCTATGTCAAAAAATTGAACACACCAGCAGTGTGAGGAAAGTGGCCTGAAAGTGGCACATGGCATGAGACACAGTGGACTCTGGACTGGCAGCAGCATGAGGAGGCGGTACAGGGGCCCATGGCAGATTAGGGGCCTGGCAGCAGCTATGGGAGGGCCCGTAATCTGCCAGCACCCTATGTCAAAAAATTGAACACACCAGCAGTGTGTGAGGAGACCTGAAAGTGGCACATGGCAGAGTGTGGCGATGGAGACAGCAGCAATGGGGAGGCCGTACAGGGACCCATGAGAGACTCTGGACCTGGCAGCAGCATGAGGAGGCGGTATAGGGGCCCATGGCAGATTAGGGGCCTGGCAGCAGCTATGGGAGGCCCGTAATCTGCCAGCACCCTATGTCAAAAAATTGAACACACACACAGCAGTGTGAGGAGACCTGAAAGTGGCACATGGCAGAGTGTGGCGATGGAGACAGCAGCAATGGGAGGCCGTACAGGGACCCATGAGAGACTCTGGACTTGGCAGCAGCATGAGGAGGCGGTATAGGGGCCCATGGCAGATTAGGGGCCTGGCAGCAGCAGCTATGGGAGGCCCGTAATCTGCCAGCACTATGTCAAAAAATTGAACACACCAGCAGTGTGAGGAGACCTGAAAGTGGCACATGGCATGAGACACTGTGGACCTGGCAGCAGCATGAGGAGGCGGTACAGGGGGCCCATGGCAGATTAGGGGCCTGGCAGCAGCTATGGGAGGCCCGTAATCTGCCAGCACCCTATGTCAAAAAATTGAACACACCAGCAGTGTGAGGAGACCTGAAAGTGGCACATGGCAGATGTGGCGATGGAGACAGCAGCAATGGGAGGCCGTGGGACCTGGCAGCAGCATGAGGAGGCGGTAATCAGGGGCCCATGGCAGAGTGTGAGGAGACCTGGGGCATGAGACCTGTGGACAGGCAGCAGCTATGGAGGCGGTAGGGGCCCGTGGCAATCTAGGGGCCTGGCAGCAGCTATGGGAGGCCCGTGCCAGCACCCTATGTCAAAAAATTGAACACACCAGCAGTGTGAGGAGACCTGAAAGTGGCACATGGCAGAGTGTGTGGCGATGGAGACAGCAGCAATGGGAGGCCGTACAGGGACCCATGAGACAGACTCTGGACTTGGCAGCAGCATGAGGAGGCGGTATAGGGGCCCATGGCAGATTAGGGGCCTGGCAGCAGCTATGGGAGGCCCGTAATCTGCCAGCAGCACCCTATGTCAAAAAATTGAACACACCAGCAGCAGTGTGTGAGGAGACCTGAAAGTGGCACATGGCAGAGTGTGGCGATGGAGACAGCAGCAATGGGAGGCCGTACAGGGACCCATGAGAGACTCTGGACCTGGCAGCAGCATGAGGAGGCGGTATAGGGGCCCATGGCAGATTAGGGGCCTGGCAGCAGCTATGGGAGGCCCGTAATCTGCCAGCACCCTATGACAAAAAATTGAAGCACCCTAGCAGTGTGAAAAAAGTGGCACATGGCAGAGTGTGGCGAGGAGACAGCAAATGTGAGCACATGGCATGACAGACACTCTGGACCTGGCAGCAGCATGAGGAGGCGGTATAGGGGCCCATGGCAGATTAGGGGCCTGGCAGCAGCTATGGGAGGCCCGTAATCTGCCAGCACCCTATGTCAAAAAATTGAACACACCAGCAGTGTGAGGAGACCTGAAAGTGGCACATGGCATGAGACACTGTGGCCTGGCAGCAGCAGCATGAGGAGGCGGTACAGGGGCCCATGGCAGATTAGGGGCCTGGCAGCAGCTATGGAGGCCCGTAATCTGCCAGCACCCCTATGTCAAAAAAATTGAACACACCAGCAGTGTGTGTGAGGAGACCTGAAAGTGGCACACATGGCAGAGTGTGGCGATGGAGACAGCAGCAATGGGAGGCCGTACAGGGACCCATGAGAGACTCTGGACCTGGCAGCAGCATGAGAGGAGGCGGTATAGGGGGCCCATGGCAGATTAGGGGCCTGGCAGCAGCTATGGGAGGCCCGTAATCTGCCAGCACCCTATGTCAAAAAATTGAACACACCAGCAGTGTGTGAGGAGACCTGAAAGTGGCACATGGCAGAGTGTGCGATGATGGAGACAGCAGCAATGGGAGGCCGTACAGGGACCCATGAGACTCTGGGCCTGGCAGCAGCATGAGGAGGCGGTATATAGGGGCCCATGGCAGATTAGGGGCCTGGCAGCAGCTATGGGAGGGCCCGTAATCTGCCAGCACCCTATGTCAAAAAATTGGAACACACCAGCAGTGTGTGAGGAGACCTGAAAGTGGCACATGGGCAGAGTGTGGCGATGGAGACAGCAGCAATGGGCGAGGCCGTACAGGGACCCATGACAGACTCTGGACTTGGCAGCAGCATGAGGAGGCGGTATAGGGGCCCATGGCAGATTAGGGGCCTGGCAGCAGCTATGGGAGGCCCGTAATCTGCCAGCACACCCTATGTCAAAAAAAATGAACACACCAGCAGTGTGAGGAGACCTGAAAGTGGCACATGGCAGAGAGAGACACAGCAATGGAGGCCTGGCAGGGACCCATGCAGCATGAGGAGGCAGCAGCATGAGGAGGCAGGGGCCCATGGCAGATTAGGGGCCTGGCAGCAGCAGCTATGGGAGGCCCGTAATCTGCCAGCACCCTATGTCAAAAAAATGAACACACCAGCAGTGTGAGGAGACCTGAAAGTGGCACATGGCAGAGTGTGGCGATGGAGACAGCAGCAATGGGAGGCCGTACAGGGACCCATGAGAGAGACTCTGGACTTGGCAGCAGCATGAGGAGGCGGTATAGGGGCCCATGGCAGATTAGGGGCCTGGCAGCAGCTATGGGAGGCCCGTAATCTGCCAGCACCCTATGTCAAAAAATTGAACACACCAGCAGTGTGAGGAGACCTGAAAGTGGCACATGGCAGAGTGTGGCGATGGAGACAGCAGCAATGGGAGGCCGTACAGGGACCCATGAGAGACTCTGGACCTGGCAGCAGCATGAGGAGGCGGTATAGGGGCCCATGGCAGATTAGGGGCCTGGCAGCAGCTATGAGGCCCGTAATCTGCCAGCACCCTATGTCAAAAAAAAATTGAACACACCAGCAGTGTGAGGAGACCTGAAAGTGGCACATGGCATGAGACACTGTGGACCTGGCAGCAGCAGCATGAGGAGGTGGCGGTACAGGGGCCCCATGGCAGATTAGGGGCCTGGCAGCAGCAGCATGGGAGGCCCGTAATCTGCCAGCACCCTATGTCAAAAATTAGAACACACCAGCAGTGTGTGAGGAGACCTGAAAGTGGCACCCTATGGCAGAGTGTGGCGATGGAGACAGCAGCAATGGGAGGCCGTACAGGGACCCATGAGAGACAGCTGGACTACAGGCAGCAGCATGGCAGCAGCATGAGGAGGTATAGGGGCCCATGGCAGATTAGGGGGGCCTGGCAGCAGCTATGGGAGGCCCGTAATCTGCCAGCACCCTATGTCAAAAAATTGAACACACCAGCAGTGTGTGAGGAGACCTGAAAGTGGCACATGGCAGAGTGTGGCGATGGAGACAGCAGCAATGGGAGGGACCGTACAGGGACCCAATGATGATGACAGGACTCTGGACCTGGCAGCAGCATGAGGAGGCGGTATATAGGGGCCCATGGCAGATTAGGGGCCTGGCAGCAGCTATGGGAGGCCCGTAATCTGCCAGCACCCTATGTCAAAAAATTGAACACACCAGCAGTGTGAGGAGACCTGAAAGTGGCACATGGCAGAGTGTGGCGATGGAGACAGCAGCAAATGGGAGGCCCGTACAGGGACCCATGAGAGACTCTGGACCTGGCAGCAGCATGAGGAGGCGGTATAAGGGGCCCATGGCAGATTAGGGGCCTGGCAGCAGCTATGGGAGGCCCGTAATCTGCCAGCACCCTATGTCAAAAAATTGGAACACACCAGCAGTGTGAGGAGACCTGAAAGTGGCACATGGCAATGGGAGGCCCAGACATGAGAGACTGTGGACCTGGCAGCAGCATAGGAGGCGCGGTACAGGGGCCCATGGCAGATTAGGGGCCTGGCAGCAGCTATGGGAGGCCCGTAATCTGCCAGCACCCTATGTCACAAAAAATTGAACACACCAGCAGTGTGTGAGGAGACCTGAAAGTGGCACATGGCAGAGTGTGGCGATGGAGACAGCAGCAATGGGAGGCCGTACAGGGACCCATGAGAGACTCTGGACTGGCAGCAGCATGAGGAGGCGGTATATAGGGGGCCCATGGCAGATTAGGGGCCTGGCAGCAGCTATGGGAGGCCCGTAATCTGCCAGCACCCTATGTCAAAAAATTGAACAACACACCAGCAGTGTGAGGAGACCTGAAAGTGGCACATGGCAGAGAGTGGCGATGGAGACCTGGCAGCAGCATGAGATGGCGTACAGGGGCCCATGAGAGACTCTGGGGGCCTGCATGAGGAGGCGGTATAGCAGGGGCCCATGGCAGATTAGGGCCGTAATCAGCCAGCAGCTATGGAGGCCCGTAATCTGCCAGCACCCTATGTCAAAAAATCTGAACACACCAGCAGCAGTGTGTGAGGAGACCTGAAAGTGGCACATGGGCAGAGTGTGGCGATGGAGACAGCAGCAATGGGAGGAGGCCCGTAATCTGTACAGGGACCCATGAGAGACCTGGAACTCTGGACTGTGGCCTGGCAGCAGCATGAGGAGGCGGTATAGGGGCCCATGGCAGATTAGGGGCCTGGCAGCAGCTATGGGAGGCCCGTAATCTGCCAGCACCCTATGTCAAAAAATTGAACACACCCAGCAGTGTGTGAGGAGACCTGAAAGTGGCACATGGCAGAGTGTGTGGCGATGGAGACAGCAGCAATGGGAGGCCGTACAGGGACCCATGAGAGACTCTGGACCTGGCAGCAGCATGAGGAGGCGGTATATAGGGGCCCCATGGCAGATTAGGGGCCTGGCAGCAGCTATGGGAGGCCCGTAATCTGCCAGCACCCTATGTCAAAAAATTGAAACACACCAGCAGTGTGAGGAGACCTGAAAGTGGGCACATGGCAGAGTGTGGCGATGGAGACACATGGGAGGCCATGAGACACTGAGAGACTCTGGACCTGGCAGCAGCATGAGGAGGCGGTACAGGGGCCCATGGCAGATTAGGGGCCTGGCAGCAGCTATGGGAGGCCGTAATCTGCCAGCACCCTATGTCAAAAAATTGAACACACCAGCAGTGTGTGAGGAGACCTGAAAGTGGCACATGGCATGGAGACAGCAGCTGTGGACCTGGCAGACAGCAGCAGTGGGAGGCGGTACAGGGGCCCATGGAGATTACAGCAGCAGATCTGGAGGCCCGTAATCTGTACAGGACCCATGAGAGGAGACTCTGGACTTGGCAGCAGCATGAGGAGCAGTATAGGGGCCCATGGCAGATTAGAGGGCCTGGCAGCAGCTATGGGAGGCCCGTAATCTGCCAGCACCCTATGTCAAAAAAATGAACACACCAGCAGTGTGTGAGGAGACCTGAAAGTGGCACATGGCAGAGTGTGGCGATGGAGACAGCAGCAATGGGAGGCCGTACAGGGACCCATGACAGACTCTGGACCTGGCAGCAGCATGAGGAGGCGGTATATAGGGCCCATGGGCAGATTAGGGGCCTGGCAGCAGCTATGGGAGGCCCGTAATCTGCCAGCACCCTATGTCAAAAAAATTGAACACACCAGCAGTGTGAGGAGACCTGAAAGTGGCACATGGGCATGGAGACACACTGTGGACCTGGCAGCAGCATGAGGAGGCGGTACATGAGGGGCCCATGGCAGATTAGGGGCCTGGCAGCAGCTATGGGAGGCCCGTAATCTGCCAGCACCCTATGTCAAAAAAATTGAACACACCAGCAGTGTGAGAGGAGACCTGAAAGTGGCACATGGCAGAGTGTGGCGATGGAGACAGCAGCAATGGGAGGCCGTACAGGGACCCATGAGAGACTCTGGACTTGGCAGCAGCAGCATGAGGAGGCGGTATATAGGGGCCCATGGCAGATTAGGGGCCTGGCAGCAGCTATGGGAGGCCCGTAATCTGCCAGCACCCTATGTCAAAAAATTGAAACACACCAGCAGTGTGTGAGGAGACCTGAAAAGTGGCACATGGCAGAGTGTGGCGATGGAGACAGCAGCAATGGGAGGGCTGCCGTACAGGGACCCATGAGAGACTCTGGACTTGGCAGCAGCATGAGGAGGCGGTATAGGGGCCCATGGCAGATTAGGGGCCTGGCAGCAGCTATGGGAGGCCCGTAATCTGCCAGCACCCTATGTCAAAAAATTGAACACACCAGCAGTGTGTGAGGAGACCTGAAAGTGGCACATGGCAGAGTGTGGCGATGGAGACAGCAGCAATGGGAGGCCGTACAGGGGACCCATGACAGACTCTGGACTTGGCAGCAGCATGAGGAGGCGGTATATAGGGCCCCCATGGCAGATTAGGGGCCTGGCAGCAGCAGCTATGGGAGGCCCGTAATCTGCCAGCACCCTATGTCAAAAAATTGAACACACCAGCAGTGTGTGTGAGTGAGGAGACCTGAAAGTGGCACACATGGCATGTGAGACAGCATGAGACGCCGTACAGGGACTGGACTCTGGACTTGCAGCAGCATGAGGAGGCGGTACATAGGGGCCCATGCAGATTAGGGGCCTGGCAGCAGCTATGGGAGGCCCGTAATCTGCCAGCACCCTATGTCAAAAAATTGAACACACACCAGCAGTGTGTGAGGAGACCTGAAAGTGGCACATGGCAGAGTGTGGCGATGGAGACAGCAGCAATGGGAGGCCGTACAGGGACCCATGACAGACTCTGGACTTGGGCAGCAGCATGAGGAGGCGGTATAGGGGCCCATGGCAGATTAGGGGCCTGGCAGCAGCTATGGGAGGCCCGTAATCTGCCAGCACCCTATGTCAA